GAAAAGTAAAATATTTTTATTTATCATTATTTTAATTTTATTATTTTATAATAATAAGAAATATAAATATCGATGATGTAGTCCATTATATCTTTAACATAGATATACATATATAATAAAATATTTATGATATAATTAATTGTGTCGTAAATATTAATGACAATCAATATCTTGAAATGCAGTGAGTTGTAAATTTTATTATATTTAAGCATAAACACTATTATTTTCCATAATTTGTGTTTCATTAAATTTGTTATTACTCTTTTTTCATGTTTTCCTTTTAAGGAACAAGGCGTTACGTAGATATACCTATATAAACACGCTCTGTAGTGTACCTTCCCTTACCAACTCATCCATGCGAAAAAAGAAAATTAAGAGTTCACGTACTTGAATAAACAGAAAAATGAAAATGATGTTAAATCTCACACCACCTTGTCTACACGAAAGATATCAAGTACTTGAATAGTTTGTGTTAAAATACTTGTGAAACTTTAAACCAAACATGCTCCAACGAATGAGAGAAGTTTTCAAGATGATCTCTGAAATTAAATGTTGAACATAATTTATTGTTAGCTAAAGCTAAAGAGAAATACAAATAGAAGAAATTGTGAATTCAAGTGGAGTAGTTGAGGAGTGTTTACAGGGTATTCCAAGGAGAGTTCCTCAGCAACAACTTCAACTAAAAACGCTGGCTATGATGAAATGAAAGGGAAATAATAGGATGAATGCTAGTCAGTGTTGTCAGTGTCGTCAGTGTTGCCTTGCTGATTGTTAGATAACTGAAGATAATGAGAGTGAGAAAACTTAGGAGGGAGAGCTACAAGTGGCTCATTTCCACTGAGCTTTCTGCAAGCTAGTCCTAAGGTGTAACCTAAAGCCCGTGAAACAGGGATGGCAACTGCATTTCCAATTTGACGGTACCTACAAATTAGAGTATCATAAGAAAATAATACACACAATTAAATTAGAGTATCATAAGAAAATAATACCATTGCTTCATGCAAACAAAGTAACCGATTCTAAAATGCATCCTTCGGTACGTTTCTAAATATGCTAAATGCTTTTTAAAAACACCACTACTATCATAAACTACTTTTCATGTGAAAACCTATGATAATCCTCGCTTTTAAAAAAAAAATCAGGGATACAAACCAAAATCCAATTTTTGGAGGGATTAAAATGAAACCCTTTTGTATATTTTTAGGCATTATAACATTTAAATTTATTTTAATTTTTCACTGAACAATGGTTTTGTACCTCCCTTTCACAGTCCCATGGAATCTATAATAATCAGGAAATCCTTGCAGTCTGGCATATTCTCGTATAGTGAGCACTCGATCCTGCTCCGGGTGTAGTACAACCTACAGGATTTCAGATATATAAGAAATCGATTTGCGTGATTTCTTTAGCAAATCAAAGACCGGTGTAAGACCTGGTTATGACAGCTTGGGAAGGTTAGTGCAGTTGGAAGATTCTCATCCCACCATAACCGTGCATATGGCCTGCATATATGTGAAAATACAGATTAGAAGTCATTCAAATGTAGCAAAGCAAGATTAGTACTTTATTGAAAAAATCACCTCTTAGACTTCCCTCCCTCAAAAGTGAAGCAAAAATCTGGGATCTGAGACCACACAGAATAGCCAGGTAAGATTAATTTGACATCACGCTATTCTAGGTATGAATTAAGAAAGCTAAACAGATAACGTGCCATTCAAAACCCCGTTTAACTTGAACTGCTTGAAGAAACCAGAACCATCCAACAATATTCTTTTTCTTAACAAATGTTCATACAGATTGGCATGATATCACGAAATCTTGGATGCTATAAATCTCTTCATACATTCTCTCAAACTTCCTTACAAAAGCCTTAAATTTAAAACGGGTATAGCGAATATTGAAGTTCAAATACAGTTATGCACTCTCTCTGGTCCTTCTCACAAGAACCACAATAGAGATTTGCCTGATCGTTTACATAAGAATCAATCTTGAATATCTCACGTTCTTATTATTATTGTTACTTTTTACAAAATTCCCTTAATCATGAGTTGCTCTCGAAGTTCAATCAATGATCACAGAGCAACAGATACATGCATAAAAATAAATGAAAATGGATATAAACCTCTTTCCAGTGACAAACATAAAGACTCACCAATGGTTTTCCAGATGCCAGCATCGGATTATCTGTCGGATGTCGTCTTACCACATTGTCAGCTCCTACAACAACACCAGGCAGATCACGGAAATTTGCACCCTACAGTAGTATTAAATGTAAGGGTGAACAAGGAATGGATCAAAGGTGTAACACATGAACTTAATCTAGACAACAACCTTGCGTTTTGGAATTTGGCAAACACGTTCGTAGCTATCTTCAGACAAAGTGTGGGGACGGTGATCATACAGCAAGGGCCTTTCCTTTGTTGTTTCATTTGAATTTGACCCAGTCATCTCTACTCAATGAACAAGAAGGAAACAAGAAGGAAACAGAAGAAAAGCTGATGTTTGGTCCAAAGATCTAATGCCAAAATACATAAGAGAAGAATTCAAAAGGAAAAAAATATACAATGACAACAAATAAATGATAGTAATCTAGTGCTTGTGATGAACTCAAATCAACTAACTTAATAACTTGAATCTCGAAGAAATAAAATTCAAACTATTTTTTATTTTTAATATTATAGATGAATAAAGAGTAAAAAAAAAAAAACGTAGCGGTTAAAGGAAAGCGCTATTACCATATTTAGTTGACCGTATATATCTTTGAAATTCCGTTTCTGGAGGACTCTGATATGGCATTTGTTCACGAGTTTCCGTGTTCATGACCTATCACATTGAACTATTTTAGTCACGCGAAACACTAGTAAACATAAAGAAATGCTAATCTAAAGTGTTAAAGTGAGAAAGGGTGTATCCTCCTTGCAATCTAAGTGAGTTAACATCACCAAACACTTAAAATAAATGAAGGGTACTCTTATTTTTACAGTTAAGAAACAAAAACAAAAAGAGAAGCAAATAAATGAAGAACAGTACAGCTGGAAGATCAGAGATGGCATCTTGGATAACGGTGGCTTTCTCTAATTCACGAGGTTGGTTTTCATCATAAGCAACAACATTGCGCTGCATGTAAATCCAAAACTAGTGAAAAATATACAAGACAATATAGAATTATACAATTACGCATGAGGATCAATACCTCAAACTCTGGCGGAGGCCAGTATCTAACGATGACATCATGCGTTGGAAGTGGAAATTGGGGTAAAACCTGCAAAAGATTAACAATTAACAAATCATAAAATAATGACATTTTCTCCATTTTGTTGTAAGCTATAAAATTCCTTCAAACCTCTTAAACATGAGAACTATACTTTTCGTACAAAATTTGAATAGTTTTTTGAGCACCTAGTGGTGCGGTCTATAGTGGACCGATTATTTAACTGGTTAGTTACACACGATGACTACCGATTCCTTTTATTGGGAAATTACAGTCTCATCCTTCCATTCCTCCTCCGATCTTTCTTTCTGTCACCGCTCTACATCGTTTCAGTTGTCAATTTCCTACGGCATTACCATCCTTCTTTATTTTTGTTTTTTCCACTTTTCTCCATAACCAATGATCTACCAGTTACACTACCATTTCCATCCTCTAAGAATGATTCACCAATCCCACCGTTAGAAACAACGCCACACTCAACTCTCCACCAAACTTGACCTACTCCACAACAACTTCAATGAATCCCCATACAAACCAATGCTAGTGGTACCCCTTTCTTCGTTTCCAAGGAGAAAGAAAAGGTGGTTCTATTTATAAATGTGTGCATTTTTTATTTTTCAGCATGGATTGAATGTTCAAATGTCATTAAGATAAAGACGAAGCTACAGATGATGCAGCAGTTTGATAAGGTGTAAAGAAGGGGTGGAAAGGAAGAGACAAAGAGCGAATGCGAAGCAGACGTTGCGGATGCGCCATGACAGCCACAACTGGAGAAGGCTAGTGAGAGAAGCATAAACATGAACAGAAAAAGAAGGATGGTCATGCTCAAGTAGGAGCTCAGACAAGAGACTAAACAAAGAGGCAGAGGGAGGATAAGAGACAGAACAATGTTATAAGGGGAAAAACAAGCAACAGGTAAACCAATCTTAATTGTTGAAAATTAATAAAGAAAGGTTGCAAGTAATTCATATACATTCGATACTTTATTAATAATTCTACAGCACAAAGTTATTTCTCCATCATAAACCACATGACTTACTAGACCACATTAGTCGTCATTCAGGATTTGATGATGAATTTAAGGGATCATATTATATCTTACGGAAAATAGTAATTTTGTTATTGAAAAGTTTCCTTAATTGAATTCATTCCTAACTGGCTTTAGTGGTGGCCTCTTTGTGAACTGCCTTAAATGTAGCTTGAAGAGAGTGATTTTGTCTCACATCAATCAGAGATATGGCTTTAAGAAAAGATTTAAAGTTAATGTAGTCCTCATATAACAAGTCAATTTTTCAGGATGAAGTACGAGTGGAAATGTTGGAAAGTTTCTTTTGTTGTAGACATCCCTAACCTGTCAGTCACACACTCATTGGGAATTACCTTAATTGTAGCTTCAATGGAAGTGGTTTAGTCTCAATTCAACTAGAAATATGATGAACTTATAAAGCTTAGGCAATCCTCTCCTTACAATGTAGTTTTATGTAGTTGTGTTGTATGTCCAAATTCAAAGGAAAACCCATCTAAATTTCATGTTTGGGCTTCAGTTTAATCACGTGGTTGGTTTATTGCTACATGTCTTTATTTGCAATCCAGTCACTCTGAGATAGCATACTCTTTGGGTAGTATTATATTTTCTGCACTCCTACTCCCTAATGAATAATTATGTTGCACCATAGTTGAGTTCATCTTCATGATCTTTTTTCCNGGAAATAATAGGATGAATGCTAGTCAGTGTCGTCAGTGTTGCCTTGCTGATTGTTAGATAACTGAAGATAATGAGAGTGAGAAAACTTAGGAGGGAGAGCCACAAGTGGCTCATTTCCACTGAGCTTTCTGCAAGCTAGTCCTAAGGTGTAACCTAAAGCCCGTGAAACAGGGATGGCAACTGCATTTCCAATTTGACGGTACCTACAAATTAGAGTATCATAAGAAAATAATACACACAATTAAATTAGAGTATCATAAGAAAATAATACCATTGCTTCATGCAAACAAAGTAACCGATTCTAAAATGCATCCTTCGGTACGTTTCTAAATATGCTAAATGCTTTTTAAAAACACCACTACTATCATAAACTACTTTTCATGTGAAAACCTATGATAATCCTCGCTTTTAAAAAAAAAAATCAGGGATACAAACCAAAATCCAATTTTTGGAGGGAATAAAATGAAACCCTTTTGTATATTTTTAGGCATTATAACATTTAAATTTATTTTAATTTTTCACTGAACAATGGTTTTGTACCTCCCTTTCACAGTCCCATGGAATCTATAATAATCAGGAAATCCTTGCAGTCTGGCATATTCTCGTATAGTGAGCACTCGATCCTGCTCCGGGTGTAGTACAACCTACAGGATTTCAGATATATAAGAAATCGATTTGCGTGATTTCTTTAGCAAATCAAAGACCGGTGTAAGACCTGGTTATGACAGCTTGGGAAGGTTAGTGCAGTTGGAAGATTCTCATCCCACCATAACCGTGCATATGGCCTGCATATATGTGAAAATACAGATTAGAAGTCATTCAAATGTAGCAAAGCAAGATTAGTACTTTATTGAAAAAATCACCTCTTAGACTTCCCTCCCTCAAAAGTGAAGCAAAAATCTGGGATCTGAGACCACACAGAATAGCCAGGTAAGATTAATTTGACATCACGCTATTCTAGGTATGAATTAAGAAAGCTAAACAGATAACGTGCCATTCAAAACCCCGTTTAACTTGAACTGCTTGAAGAAACCAGAACCATCCAACAATATTCTTTTTCTTAACAAATGTTCATACAGATTGGCATGATATCACGAAATCTTGGATGCTATAAATCTCTTCATACATTATCTCAAACTTCCTTACAAAAGCCTTAAATTTAAAACGGGTATAGCGAATATTGAAGTTCAAATACAGTTATGCACTCTCTCTGGTCCTTCTCACAAGAACCACAATAGAGATTTGCCTGATCGTTTACATAAGAATCAATCTTGAATATCTCACGTTCTTATTATTATTGTTACTTTTTACAAAATTCCCTTAATCATGAGTTGCTCTCGAAGTTCAATCAATGATCACAGAGCAACAGATACATGCATAAAAATAAATGAAAATAGATATAAACCTCTTTCCAGTGACAAACATAAAGACTCACCAATGGTTTTCCAGATGCCAGCATCGGATTATCTGTCGGATGTCGTCTTACCACATTGTCAGCTCCTACAACAACACCAGGCAGATCACGGAAATTTGCACCCTACAGTAGTATTAAATGTAAGGGTGAACAAGGAATGGATCAAAGGTGTAACACATGAACTTAATCTAGACAACAACCTTGCGTTTTGGAATTTGGCAAACACGTTCGTAGCTATCTTCAGACAAAGTGTGGGGACGGTGATCATACAGCAAGGGCCTTTCCTTTGTTGTTTCATTTGAATTTGACCCAGTCATCTCTACTCAATGAACAAGAAGGAAACAAGAAGGAAACAGAAGAAAAGCTGATGTTTGGTCCAAAGATCTAATGCCAAAATACATAAGAGAAGAATTCAAAAGGAAAAAAATATACAATGACAACAAATAAATGATAGTAATCTAGTGCTTGTGATGAACTCAAATCAACTAACTTAATAACTTGAATCTCGAAGAAATAAAATTCAAACTATTTTTTATTTTTAATATTATAGATGAATAAAGAGTAAAAAAAAAAAAACGTAGCGGTTAAAGGAAAGCGCTATTACCATATTTAGTTGACCGTATATATCTTTGAAATTCCGTTTCTGGAGGACTCTGATATGGCATTTGTTCACGAGTTTCCGTGTTCATGACCTATCACATTGAACTATTTTAGTCACGCGAAACACTAGTAAACATAAAGAAATGCTAATCTAAAGTGTTAAAGTGAGAAAGGGTGTATCCTCCTTGCAATCTAAGTGAGTTAACATCACCAAACACTTAAAATAAATGAAGGGTACTCTTATTTTTACAGTTAAGAAACAAAAACAAAAAGAGAAGCAAATAAATGAAGAACAGTACAGCTGGAAGATCAGAGATGGCATCTTGGATAACGGTGGCTTTCTCTAATTCACGAGGTTGGTTTTCATCATAAGCAACAACATTGCGCTGCATGTAAATCCAAAACTAGTGAAAAATATACAAGACAATATAGAATTATACAATTACGCATGAGGATCAATACCTCAAACTCTGGCGGAGGCCAGTATCTAACGATGACATCATGCGTTGGAAGTGGAAATTGGGGTAAAACCTGCAAAAGATTAACAATTAACAAATCATAAAATAATGACATTTTCTCCATTTTGTTGTAAGCTATAAAATTCCTTCAAACCTCTTAAACATGAGAACTATACTTTTCGTACAAAATTTGAATAGTTTTTTGAGCACCTAGTGGTGCGGTCTATAGTGGACCGATTATTTAACTGGTTAGTTACACACGATGACTACCGATTCCTTTTATTGGGAAATTACAGTCTCATCCTTCCATTCCTCCTCCGATCTTTCTGCAGCTTTCTTTCTTCTCTGTCACCGCTCTACATCGTTTCAGTTGTCAATTTCCTACGGCATTACCATCCTTCTTTATTTTTGTTTTTTCCACTTTTCTCAATAACCAATGATCTACCAGTTACACTACCATTTCCATCCTCTAAGAATGATTCACCAATCCCACCGTTAGAAACAACGCCACACTCAACTCTCCACCAAACTTGACCTACTCCACAACAACTTCAATGAATCCCCATACAAACCAATGCTAGTGGTACCCCTTTCTTCGTTTCCAAGGAGAAAGAAAAGGTGGTTCTATTTATAAATGTGTGCATTTTTTATTTTTCAGCATGGATTGAATGTTCAAATGTCATTAAGATAAAGACGAAGCTACAGATGATGCAGCAGTTTGATAAGGTGTAAAGAAGGGGTGGAAAGGAAGAGACAAAGAGCGAATGCGAAGCAGACGTTGCGGATGCGCCATGACAGCCACAACTGGAGAAGGCTAGTGAGAGAAGCATAAACATGAACAGAAAAAGAAGGATGGTCATGCTCAAGTAGGAGCTCAGACAAGAGACTAAACAAAGAGGCAGAGGGAGGATAAGAGACAGAACAATGTTATAAGGGGAAAAACAAGCAACAGGTAAACCAATCTTAATTGTTGAAAATTAATAAAGAAAGGTTGCAAGTAATTCATATACATTCGATACTTTATTAATAATTCTACAGCACAAAGTTATTTCTCCATCATAAACCACATGACTTACTAGACCACATTAGTCGTCATTCAGGATTTGATGATGAATTTAAGGGATCATATTATATCTTACGGAAAATAGTAATTTTGTTATTAAAAAGTTTCCTTAATTGAATTCATTCCTAACTGGCTTTAGTGGTGGCCTCTTTGTGAACTGCCTTAAATGTAGCTTGAAGAGAGTGATTTTGTCTCACATCAATCAGAGATATGGCTTAAAGAAAAGATTTAAAGTTAATGTAGTCCTCATATAACAAGTCAATTTTTCAGGATGAAGTACGAGTGGAAATGTTGGAAAGTTTCTTTTGTTGTAGACATCCCTAACCTGTCAGTCACACACTCATTGGGAATTACCTTAATTGTAGCTTCAATGGAAGTGGTTTAGTCTCAATTCAACTAGAAATATGATGAACTTATAAAGCTTAGGCAATCCTCTCCTTACAATGTAGTTTTATGTAGTTGTGTTGTATGTCCAAATTCAAAGGAAAACCCATCTAAATTTCATGTTTGGGCTTCAGTTTAATCACGTGGTTGGTTTATTGCTACATGTCTTTATTTGCAATCCAGTCACTCTGAGATAGCATACTCTTTGGGTAGTATTATATTTTCTGCACTCCTACTCCCTAATGAATAATTATGTTGCACCATAGTTGAGTTCATCTTCATGATCTTTTTTCCTATGTTAGAGCTCTGACTAATGTACATTGTTGCATAGCCAGTCCTGAGCCTATATTAAAGTGTATAGTTTGTGCTAGGTAATCGACAACCAACATATAACATTGTTGAATCTGTAAAAGGTAAATAGTATGGATGTTTAATGGAGAGGTTGCTGCTGATAAAAAAATAAAATAAAACTGAGAGGTTGCTACCCATAAGTGTGCACTAATGCATGTCTTGAATGTTGTTAGATATTTAGGAATATTTTATCTTGGGCATTTTCTCGTAGGTTTATTCTAGGATCTAAAAGTTAAAATAATCAAGTAATTCATTAGCTAAAGAATAAGGCCAGAATACTCCCACCACATGAGCAGTCCTCCTCCTTTGGACAAGCTTTTAGAAGCTAATTAACCCCAATGTGTTTCGATTATCATATCAAAGTCTATACAGCTTGTTGTTGGGCAACAATATCTAGTTTGACAAACTCACTCCATATCTTGTCCAAGGGAAAAAGGTATGATTAGAATACTTTAGCCATTGTATAACATGGGTAATCCTCATTTCTTGAGCTAGCGTCAGTCCATCTCCATTAAGGATTAAGAAAAGACTCACCTAACTTTTAGATAACCAATATTATGAGAAATAGAGAAGATTGGGAGAAAATATCCCTTGTGTGTTTAGCATACACATAAGGTAATTTATTTATATTGTAAGATATGGGCCAATGCCCTTAATACAGAATAGACTAAGACCAAATAACAGAAACACACATCTTAACATCTAACAAATATGATTTTACATTAGGCAGGTCAACCAAGGAGGGAAATCTAAATTTTGAGGTTTATGCAAAGGTATTGGAGGAAACAAACAAAGATAGTAGTATGTTTTTCATTGACCTCGACAATACATGTGATGGATTGAGAAGATTTAAATTTGCTCCTAGGACTTAACTCAACCCCCACAATACCAACTAATGAGATTAGGGTTATCCCACTTACATACAACTTTATTTTAGCTATATATCTAGTTGATGAGACTTGGGTTTTCCCAATTCACTCCATCACGTCACGCTGAACATTATGGGGTTGTATGCATGGATAATAGGTGGTTCAATAATGGATGTAGGGCAAGTTTTGATATCATTTTAAATAACTCAATCGAACAAAAACAGTATGTAAGATGAAGATTGTCCAAACTTTATAAACTCTATTTAGGTCAACATCTCTATAGTCAATGTGTGACTAAATCAACACCCTAAAAGTTATAGTTATGGAAAGTCCCAAAGAAGTCGCAACTAAAGCATGCTAGGGATAACAACAATAAAATGACTTTATAACATTCAACTGCATCACTAGAGCTAATCGCTTTGAGTGTGGCATGTTGGCCCAACAAAGGATCTAAGGATAGACTTAGATGCCCTTTTGGATTGTGGGTTTAAGTTTAACTCATCCTAATAAATATAACTTATAAGGTGAGATCTGCATAAACTTTCTAAGTTTTAATTAAGTCATATCTCTAGTTGATAAAGCACCAAACCACAACCTTCGAGGCTGTAATTAAGAAAACAGTCAAGGAGACTACAGCGTAGGCAAGCTAATGATAACCACAATTTCCAACAAGTAATGTGGAATGTGCTAGAGAAAGGAATTTCCAATGCTAACATTCAGGTTACTAAGCCCGATAATAGAGAGATGAAGACCAAAACAACGTCAATGTGGGACTTCCAACACATCCCCTCACGCCGAAGTATATACATCTCGAGCGTGAGACTAAACATTAATGAATGGTTTGATAACTAGACTCTGATACCAATGCCATGTTAAGAAGTGGACTACTTTAATCCTAACTCAACCCTATAAAATCGGCTTGTAAGGTGAGGTTTGCACCTACTTATATATTATAAATTAGCCTTATCTCTAGTCGATGTGGGACTCCAACAGTGTGTGTGTGTGTGTGACAATAATTATTGCAAGTTGTTGAAGACATCGATGGAGAGAGACACACTTTTAGGTAAATTTGGGTGGATTAACATAAACATGTTCTTTGAAATAGACATTAAGATAGAGGGAGAGATGTTGTATTCAGTTGTACATTTGTCAACTTTTTCTATCACCAAACTTTAAAACTAACCTCACTAGGATGAGAACCCCACAAGAAAACACGCAACCGAAATTGTGGAAGACCATAACACCCAGCCGCAATGATTCCAAGTCTTGCTTGGTATTTCATATGCACCAAACGACTTAATGCATATCTTCCAAGTGAGCCCTTGTCAAATCTCAATATGTCAACCACATTCTCCATTAAAACATACCTAGGCTTCAAAAATTTCACCATGTCCATGAAAATCACAATCTGACGATTCCTTTCATCATCCAATGGTGACTCAGAGTTTCTAAAGCGATTATATCCACTAATTCCTTGACAAGGAGGACCCCCACAAATAACATCAACTTCTGCCTGAAATAATTTTAAGCAACAATCGATTTAAAATGCATAATCCATCGAGATTTTACCCTATCTATTGTATAAATAGTACAACTTACAGGAAGAGGCAAGATTTTTGATTTCATCCCTTTTCTCACAAAATCCTGTATGCTTTCCTTACACTTACTACAATTATAATAAGTAAGTACCAATGCTCCCAGATTGTTTAATATCATCAACCACATTGAAAAGAATAAAGAAATACATACCTTAAGCTTTTAATTGGTTCCCAAGTGTCTTCACTTGTACTGCAACCCTTCCAATGAACCTATGAAACAACCAAGAGAAAGCAAAGATCATCAATTTATGAGCCAAAACATTTTTAGCCTATGTTTGAATGATCGTAGGAATCCTCCCAAATTACTTTTAACTCAAAACGGTTTACCTCTCCAGAACAGTTTTACCCAAATATGCTATTAGAGATTCATAGGGTAAAATAAGGTAAAAGATAACATAGTAAAGGAACAATTTTTCCCTGTCATCTCATAAAGTTGGTAGTACTAAAATTAAAAAATCTTTAAAGAGAAAAATCCACAAATGAAGCCTTCCTGGTCTCTCATGACAGCTAGAGGTCTCCAAATCCACAAAAGCAAAAAGATCTAAGATTTGTAAAAAAACTGGTTTTATACATTCTATTTCACTTCTGTTAACAGAAAAACTCTCGTAATGTAATGAAAACCCATGCTATAATTTTCGCTAACATTTATACAACTTTCACTAATATTAAGAATGCATTCCAAATACATTAGGTTTATAAAATGTATACATACATATGCATTCAAGTCAACACTTAGAAATTGGCTTAACACTTATGCAAAAGATCTTGTAATCATATACGGCTTAACACTTAGAAGTTTCAAGCTTGAACTATGTTAGGATCCATTTACAAGTTAGGATACTTGAGTCCCACATCATAAATATGGAATTCTAGTGGGATCTAGTGGGGATTTTATAAAGCTTGAAATATGGTTTTAGTGGTATGGTTCATTCGTGTAAAACTCCATGTAGAGGCTATGTGCGATCTGAGTGCTTACTATATAATTTAGAAACAGTTTGGCTAAGCTCATTTAAACACACAATCCACGGACAATGAAGAAATTTTTTCAATGTACAGTAAATAGTCTCCACAAGCTTGCGTGCCCTTCTAGAATCCACAATAATCATCTCTTTCAATTAGAGAATTATGTAATTAGCTCATAACATTTGAATTTGACAAAATTGCAAGTACTAGTTTGAGGGTCACATGACTATCACTATCTAACAGCAAGTAAACAAATATATATAAACATGATTTCATGAAAAATAAGGTTTAATGAGACAAAAACTGAAAATCGGAAAGTTGACATTGGATTTATTACCTTGAAATATAGACCACGGTTACCAGTTTCTTTGGGATCACCAAAGCAAATATCAACTAACTTAGAAACTTCAAATTCATGATCAGAAACATCATGAACTTCTTGTTTCGTTGTTTCTGGATATTTGGATCGACATGAAAGTTTTCTTTCTGCAACAGTGGCATTATACCGTTTGCATAGTTTTTCCCACTCCTTTAATAACTCCAGAAAGTCCTCAGCAGATTCATTTCGCACCTATACAATGAAGGAATATAACTATGAACGTTACTATCAAATATCTTTGTGGTAGCTGAAGATTGTCAGGACTCACATGTGTGTCCGGATGGTTTAGTTTCAAGCTTTCACTGGCTGACATATCACTATCAACAGCCCATCTCTGAGCAAAACAGCAACCAAAACAAGATAAGTTTATCATGGATGATATTTGATAAAATCCATAAATAGGAAGAATCTCATCACAGAGAAACATTTCATTTATAATACCGTGACAAGGTTAACTGATGCAGTTTTGGCACCTAAGCACAATCCAGTTGACATGCCACCACACCCAGAATAGAGATCTAGTAATGATAATTCGTTCTTGCACAGATCAGAAGAGGGTAGATTCTCTGTCACTGCAGAGGCGTCTGTTGAGAGACTCACACAAAGAGGTGATGATAACTCATTAGTCTTAACGGATGATCAAAGGCAAATATATAAACTCTTAATATCGGAAAACAACAGAACATATTTGAAGACTTAAGATAGCAGTTAATTTTAATGTTGATCACATAAGAACAAATGAAACTTAGAAGCAAAGTATTAATATGACATAGGTGTAGAAATATCTCTACATGTTAACACTGTCAACATTAATTGATATCTCTAGACTTCATTGCAGGCCTCCATCCACTGTCCAGCCTCTGTTGTGGACACATTCATAAAATGTGTAAAACCCAATTCACTAAAGTAATACACACCAATGCAGAACTATCAATCACCTTATACACATTTGGCTGAACCGATATTATATTTTAAAAGGGCTTTTATATATATAGGAAGCTTTAGTTACTTTGAAGGCAAGTGTTTGAATTGAAAGATCTCATAATATCAATATTATATCCCAAAATAATTTATAGTATAGAAGAAATTATCTCTTGGGATTTAAAGAGAGAATGGTATAATTTTTTATCTAGTAATATTAATCTTATGCCCATTGACTAGTAAAACTAATTTTGTGCCTATTAATATGAAAGTAAAACTTATGATTTTATCCATTAAGATCTTATTTTTCTTATCTTCTGTTTGTAATTCTAGTAAATGATAGTTTATGGATGAAAGTGTGAAAATAGATGTCTGCATACAGAAGTTGTCACCCTACAACCAAAAGATAAATAGGGTTCCCCTTCCCCAGAAAAAACTCTGATAACCGATTGCATCTGGTGCTCCTTAATGACACACCTGTTGGTATGTTACGGAATGTAGAGTAATCCACGCAATACTCCATGTCATAATACAAGTCAGATGGTGAAATTGAAGCCAATTTCAGACCAACCTGCAAATCAAACACATAAGTATTGGTTAGGATATATACATATATACACACACATACACACACATATGTAGAAACCGATTAAGAAGGAGTCTGACCAAGATTTGGGCATACCCTGGGTGTTATTTGTGTTACATTAGCTTTTCCTATTATGCAATCTATCAAGTTATCATTCATTATTGATGAATAAAATACACGCCTCTTGTCATGGAAACCACCTTCATCTTGAACAACCTGAAAATCATTGGAAGTTACAATGACATATCCTGACATTATTAGATAAACATGACATAGTCAGTACTCACTGTATCTTGAATTCGGTAGAACCATTGGACTCGGAAATAGTTTTGTCCCTCAGTTGTTTGGAAAAATTCAATAATCCTGCCAACGTGATTCTCCTCTCCTTCACCCTGAAAGATTACACAAGGTGTGAGCATAAATTGCTCTCATTATGTTGACATGAAATCATAAAGTTCATTGACGTCACTAACATGCACCTATTATGTTACTCACATACTCTACAATGGACATTAGAAAGGTTGATGAATTTGAACATATAGCAGTAGTCACTGATGGTGATGACCTCAATAGCAAATTTTAAACAAAAATGCCAATAGTATAAGGGGAAAAATTGGGTACAAAGGGAATGAGTAGTCTATAAAGGTAGAGAATAATCTTAGTTTATTATGGACAGTGAGCATTCGCTCTCAGAAGGAACATTCCTGTGACAGTGAGAACTTTCTCTACCAAATTTTCCTTTAATCATCAATAGTACAAGTCTTTCTATTGGTTTTTCTAATCTATTACTCTATTAGGGTTCCTGACAAACGATATGCTAAAAAGCGTTACCCACTATTATTCCATGAAGGAGTGTACAAGAATATATGTGTGTACGCTTACATTCTACACTCCTATTCCTAGAATATATAGCTGTATGTATACAAAAACATAAACAGGCATTTATACATTTTCCTCTATGAAATTCATAAATAGAGAGAACTGAGAACCTAGACAAGAACAAAAACAAAATATGGAAACTTATAGATATAGATGTATTGATACCAAAGCTTTCAACCAGAATTATCTCCCAGCCAAACCTAAGTGCTTAGGTAGCCCTTTAGTTTCCGCTTGAATTACTAACTTAAATACTTGTGATTAAATCTAAGAAATTAAATTTCAGGATTGAGAAATATTATCTCCAACAAAAGACTAAAAAAAAGAAAAGTAGTAAATACATAGGAATACTAATGTGGATAAGATACATAAAGAAAAATTGCGGAAGAAATAAAGGACAAGAATTAGGCCACATATATAACCTTGATTAAATTGTCAGTGAAACGGTGAACATGGAATGTAGTGGAAAATATGAAAAGGCAATAGGAGTATTGATAACAAGGTTTCCAAACTTCTGGATAGGGGAAAGGTGAACGTAAGAAAAATATGTTTTTTTTAAACTAAACTTACTTCTATAAATGCACAATCACCAAGACTAAAAATGCAATTCCCAACTTCAGCTTGTGCATAATGGCATTTAACATTTGCAATAATCTCGTCTTCTTCACCCTCACTATGAAACCAACAGAATCAAAATATAAGGATAAGAAATTGGAAATCGCATCAACTGAGAACAAGCATGCAATAGACTATATAAGATTATGAATTGATTAATACTTACTTTATCTTTAGCTGTTGGTCTTTACATTTTTTGTCCTGCAAGCTTCAGCAGAAAAATCAGATAAACAATATAGAGGAATACAATCTGTTTGGATTTGATGGAAACAAACAAAACTTGTTCCGTTTCTTCAAAAGTAAATATGATGCAAACGAGACTATCATTATAAGTGACACAAAAAAGGTTAATATTTTCTCTCTTATCAGAGCACAACATACATACAGAAGTTCTTTATAGCATTTATGCCAAAAAAATCAGGCCAACAACCTTTAATTCATATCGCCATCCCCATCTTTTCTGAGCTTCATCCTCAGGTATTGGATCACCAATGAAGGCAGCAATGCTTTCTGAATCCATACCTTCCTTAGTTGAAGAAGTTGATGTTCTATATTTCTTTCTTGGTGGATCATCATCTAACTCAGACAAAGGAAAGGAATTAGAAATTGTTCTGCCATTTTGATATGGGGATGTGATTGCCTCTGAAGACCAAGTTAAGGATTTGGTATCGTCAATTCCACAGGTAGAACTTCTAGACATAATTTTAACTTCAGAATGTTGCTCAACTGTTGAACTAGACAATTCAATGGAAGTAGAAACCGCTTTTATATTTTTTTTCGTTTGGTGAACTGCTTTTGATTTTCTCTTTCTTTGTAAAACATTAATTTCCATGTTTTCATTCCCATTTGAAGAGGAAAATCGTGGGGATCTCCTAAGCTCCAATGTACCGTACAGTTTCACATCAAGCTTTTCTGATGGATTTAATCCTGGGCATCGCCTCAAGTGCTCCCCACCATTGAACTTTCCATGAAAATTTTGGACACTGTAAAACGAAAAAGCGTTATGTGGCCTTGAATTGAAATAATGAAAATTGAAGCAATACAGGAAAGCGAAGATATGTCAACTTCCATGTTCACTCACTTCAGCGGTAATTCCGGACCCCTAGACCCATGCCACTGCACAACTCAAGAATCAACAGACAGGATTTTAAGCCATGAAATTCAAATAAAGTCAAAGATACACATCACCATTACTGCAGATTGTTTCAAGTGTTGCCAATATTACACTAGAACAGAAAAAGATACATGGACAAAAAATGAGACTGAATAACAGAAGAAACAATTATGGTTGAGGGCATGGAAATGAAAGAAACAAAGCTTAGAGAATCAAGTACAGTTTGAAAATAATTAATATTATGTCGTAGTCCAAAAATAGATATAAAAAATCCTGAGGTAAGTGGTGCATTGCTCTACATCCCATGGATAAACCTTGCCATACTTATTCAACATAACAGTCGGGTTGCAAAATGATAGCACAACTTTTCACACAAAGTAAAAATCATGGTTGGAATTTGATCACCATGTTGTATTCTGATGTAAATGTTTATTGAAATATAAATAAATGCCAACTATTAGATTATACATGCATGAACGTCCAATATATATAAATTTCGCAAGCAGTATTTATGATTACCAGGCCACAAAAAAAAAAATCAATTATTCCCTGTTTTCTTTTTTGTTACATATTGATCTCTTCAAACAGTTATTAATCACGTGAATTAAATAACTATTGTTAAAAAATTATATTTTCAATCTCCTACAGTTTAATTATTTAACTTTCATCTACTAGCTTTTAATTTTCAGTTACTTACAAACGCATATATTAAATAGTTTCTATGGTTTTGATATGATAATATTTTCTTTTTGAGTAAAAAGAGTATATTTATACGAAAAAAAATTATTTGTTCAAAGTCTATATTATAATTTATTTAAGTATATATATATATATACATATTTATATTATATATATATATATATATATATATATATATATATATTATATATATATATATATATATATATATATATATATTTATATTACATATATATATACATATTTATATTACCTATAGTTTTAAGTATGAGGTTTATTCAATCATATAACCTTTTAAATATATTAAATTTTAGTTAACAAAAATATTTTATTCATAAAAAATATATTTTAAACATAAAATATTTTAATATTTTAATTTAAAATAAAAATATATATAATTTTTATTTTTAATTTAAAATCAAAAAATAAAAAATTATTTAAATATCATGTTACTTAAAACTTAAAATTCATAGTATATAAATATTTTTGTCAATTAAAAACTTAATATACCAATATTTTTGTCAACTAAAATTATCTAAAATTTGGACATAGTTAGCAAACTCATTTAAGTATATTCTGTCCTAACTCATTTTTGGTAAGTTTTATATAATTGAAATACAGAAAAGTAATCTTTTCTACACACAACTGACCTTCCAAATAAAATCATAATGTGCAAATGTAGATTTGAGCACAACCAAAAATATCATGAAATTGAGCTTATTCTCTAAAAATATTTAATTCAATGACGAAAATTATAGTGAAAGAGATTAAATGTAATTTTTACCGACTCCTGACCTAAAATATCGGATTTTACCCAAAAAAGTAAAAGCCGTAAAGAAAAGGACAGCATGCAAAGCAAAAAGTACAGTGACACACCTTAACAAGATGACGCGACCCTGATCCAGATCCCGCTGAGAATCTCGGCGAGCGTCTCAGAGAATTCCCCTCCTTCTCCGCCGACAGCTTTCGCTTTCTGAATCCTGCATTTGCGTCATCTACGATTGTGGGCTCGGGTTGTTGGCTGGTAGAGTAGCGGAGACTCTCTGCATGCGGCGGCAGAGGCGTTTCAACGGCGTCGCTCGTGGGCGGAGAAGGGAGGCACTGAGTTGGGGGAAGAAATGGTTCGCAATCGGGTGCGTTTGGTGACAGTGTGGGGCTTAGGGAATTGGATTGGGGATCCGATTGAGAGTCGACGGCTGATGTCATGACTGTGGTGATTTGAAGATGAAGATTTGACTCTCTGAAATAAAGGAGTGGGAGCGGACACTATATATACTGAGATTTTACAATTTTTACTAAATTTAAATAATACAAAGAGTTGTTAGTATTGATTTTTTTTTTATTACATTTAGCTGGAATGATTAATTCTTTACATCATTAAATTTGAAGTTTTTATAATTTTAATATCTTAATTCTGAATTTAATCAAGTATTTATTTAACTTGTTATTTTTTTCTCCTTATCATAAAATTTTATTAAAAGAAATTAATTCGATAAACTCTTTAAATATAGATAATAATACTTTGACAACATTTTTTGACAACATTTTAACACTGTATACGTGTCATTTTGTGATTGGTCTATATTGGTGTCTATGATTATTATTATTGATTGTGAAATAATTTTAGACCAATCACAGAATGTCACGTAGACAATGTTAAAATGTTATCAAAAAAAATGTTGTCAAAAAATATCATTGTCCTTAAATATATTCTAATTTTCCATAAACTCTTGTAAACGTCATTTTAATTATGCTTTCGGTTACTTAATTTTGTCATTTGAGTAATTTTAGTCATTCAATTTTATTTAGAGATAACAAAATGAGAGAGTAGAGTTTCTCTCATCTGGAATTGGATTCTCTAAGTAAATATACATTAAAAAGCAAGATGAAAAAAATATCATACATGTATTCTACCTTTAGTATCTTTCTTATTAAGCACTAAAATGTGTTACTTTCCCAAGATAAATACATACGTTAATATATTTAATAAATTTGATAATGTCATACAAAATAATAATGATTTAATCACCTAACACATTTAAAATTAAAATATGAGTTAAATGTATTTTTATTATATGAATTTTTATGCAAAACAATGATACATTTTGGTAATTGAATTTTAAAAGTAAATAAATATTTTAATCTAACTATTTTTTTTAAATGTTAAACATATTTTTTAATTGATGTTAAAATGAAAATATGTCAAACCCCTAAATATTAATATGAAAAACATTTACATGTTAAAAAAATTTAACATAAAATTAAAATAATTAAATCTATTTATTTTTAAAATGTGAGAACTAAAATATATTAAAGTTTTAAATAAAGTCAAATTATAATATTAAATAAAAATTCACAAATTAAAAATATATTTAATTCTTAAAATATTTAACAACGTGATACTGTTTTCAGCCATGTGATCCTGTTTTCTAGAGTAGGTAGTAATTGAAATTAAATCCATAAGATTCGCTCTAATTTACATTTCTTTAAAATTATTTTGTTATTTGTCAATATATTTGAACATTCTGTTGTTGACTAATTTCCAACCAAAACTTGGCTAACTATCTAGTGTTTGTTAGCATTCAATTTTCTAATTCTAAAAAAAGAGTAAATTTTAGTTTAATTATTTTATGTTATTTAGTTTTAAAAAGTTATGAAGTTTGGACAAGTTTGCTGGGCTTTCTTATAGTGAAAAGATGGAAGAGTTGAAGTTGTAAACTGCAATGTTCCTCTCATGCAAGCCAATGTTTTCTCATAAGATTATTAGGCAAAAACAAGGGTAGCATATGTAAGAAATAAGGACTTGGTTGCTGATATAAAAGGAAAGAATTAAGTGTGAGAATGGAAGATTTGTGTTTAAAGACATGATTTTTTATTCTGAATCCCAACATTCAAATACGTTGTGTGCAATCTAGTCCTAATAAATTTCAGCTCATGGATGGTGTTGTTAGTGAACGTAGTCCAAATAATATGGAGGTTAAAAGGAGTATTTATCATTTATTATTGGTTCAATCATGAATTACAAGGTAGAATAACTTCGAAACTATCTAAATTCACAATACCATAGGTATTCATGTTGCTTATTCAATTCAATAGGAAAATTCAACTTCACCATTGTGAATACGTGTTTAATTAAATTTTCGTTCTACTTTTTTGAAAATTTCAAGAAAAAAAATGAAAAGAATCTCTCAACTGAAATATTTCTTAATCACATATATCTCAATAATAACTACAAAAGTATGAGTTTATTATCGATGGTTTTTTAACCTCATTAAATTTTGTGCAGTTTTCTAAAAATCGCAGTTAAAAATATATTATTTATTTTTTAAAACAAATTTTTGACGGTTTTTGAGTAAAGTGTTGGTAAGAGTTAGAAAATTGTTTAATTTCCATAATCCCAAAAGCAGGTTGCATTATTTTTATTTAGGGATTTCGTAAGAGCATACTCTATCATCTTGATTTCCTTCTCTCTAGTTGAGTTTTAGTTCTTTCTATATGGATGAGTTTCACCTCTTCTTACTTCCAATCAGATACACTTGTTATGTTTTTCTCTTGTTCTTTACTTCATGTTGTCTTTCCCAAAATCTTTAATTTCAATTTTTCATTGTCCTTAAATAGTAAATTTTCTATAGTCGGAGGCAATCTGATAACAAATTTGCCACCACATCAAAAAATGGGAATTGATGTGGAATGTGTTGTTTCTATTGTAGCAATGGTGGGACATTTTCTCTCAGGCACTACTTTCTTCAAGGTTTTGTGTATATTTTGTGATTCTTTTTTTTTCCTAAATTCACAATCTTGTCTCACTTGATTTATCTTTTCTGCCATCTAATGGTGTCATTAAGCAACAAATCTTTATGTTCGGACACTTCCTTTCTTCTAACATCGTCCAATTGAAATTTAGAATGTTTTGTTTGCAAAAAAAATTGATTGAATATGTTTGACTCAATTAAATCATATATTTTCTCATATCACGACTTATACTCATGGACTATGTGTTGTAATTAGAAAAAATATAGAATCTTTTTAATTAGAGAAAATATCTATAAAATCTTTCTAATTAGAGAAAATAGGAGTATGATCTTCTAGATTATTTTTTAGAATATTATTTTCTTATTTTCCTTTTTTAGAAGATTATATTGCTACAAATAGAGGTAAGGAGAATGTAATTATCATGAATGAAAATAATAAAATCATTCTCTTTTTCAAGTTGGTATCTGAACTCTTGATCTTGGGAGATATTTTTCCATTGCAACAATAGTCATCGTCGTCGTTGTCCAACCACCGCGGTTGTCACGGTAGCTAATTGGGGTTGTGGATAGGGCAGAAAGGTGCTCCCATCTCCAATGATCACAACACCGGAAATCACTCCAGGAAATAAGTCGTCACGCACCGCCACCGTCATTGGCTCTTGTAGCACACACGTCTAGTTCCAGCGAGACCCAATCGTCGCCACCATCACAAAAAGGGTTTTCGGAGCCTCTTGAGTTCGTTCCACGGGTCGGTGACATTCCATTTGGCCCATATTTGAGTAGATATGAATTTTAAGTTCAGCTCCTTTTCGAATAAGGTCACCAAAGACACTTGATCGCGTTCTACGTTATGTCTGAAGTAAAATTATTCTTTTGGGTCCTAAGGATCTATCAAACATGGTGGGTGTCTATCGGTTGGATGGTCAGAATTTCTTACAATGGAGGCAATACATTCGAAGGATTCTCAAGGGACGTTCAAGACTAGATCACATAAATGGAGGAGGACCAGAACCAGACAACACTCATTTTCCAATTTGGGACAATGAAGATTCACTAATTATGACTTAAACGTGGTAGTCCATGATTCCTAAGATAAGTAAAAATTATATGTTTCTTTCTTCTGCCAAATAAATATGGGATTATTTGCCCATTGAGAAAGGAAAGAAGATCATGTGCTAAATATTCTATTTTTCAGTATGTTTGCACTAACAATCTCTCTAGTAAGCATAAAAGCTTTATTGCTGCCATTTATGCCACATAAATTCCTACCACAATCTAGGAGGCCATGAAACTTGAACATTGGAATACAACCATGAAAGAAGAGATAAATACATTAGAAATAAATTAAACTTTGGAGATTGTTGATAAACCCAAGAGACAAGAAGGCAGTAAGGTGTAGATGGATATTCATAGTGAAACATAAGGCAAATGAGATAATAGAAAGATATAAAGCTAGATTGGTGGCAAAATGATATACCCAAACCTATGGGATTGAGTATGAGGAGACATTTACCCCCAATGGCAAAGATGAATACAGTTCGAGCTGTTCTCACTTTGGCTGCACATTTTGGATGAGACTTACACCAGCTGAATGTGAAAAATGCATTTCTTCATGGAAATCTAGAAGAGGAAGTGTACATGGAGATTCCCCTAGGTTTCGAAGTGAAAAATGAAAAGAAACAAGGTATGTCTCCTAAAGAGAGCATTATATGGTCTTAAGGAATCCCCTAGAGCATGGTTTGAAATATTTACAAAAGTAATGGTTTCCTTGGGATACAGACAAAGCCAAGGAGATCATACTCTATTCATGAAGCACTCTTCTACCGGTAAACTCACTCTATTGTTTGTCTATGTGGATGATATGATTATTACAGAAGATGATGAAACAAAAAAAATCGACGTTAAAAGAAAAATTGGTGGCCCAATTTGTAATGCAAGACCTAGAAAAATTCAAATATTTTCTTGGAATAGAGGTTGCTTATTCCAAGAACGAAATTTTCATCTCCCAAAGAAAATATGTACTTGATCTCCTCAAAGAAACAAGAAAACTGGGATGTAAAACCTCAACAGTCCCTATAGAACAGAATCATAGAATTGAAAGTAAGGAAAGTGCTCCTATAGAGAAGGCCCAATATCAGATATTGGTAGGAAAATTAATTTATCTATCACACACAAGAACATACATTACTTATGCAGTTAGTGTAGTGAGTCAATTTATACATGATCCAAGAGAGACTTGAAGTCAAGTTCAGGAAAATGGTTATTATTCAAAGGGATGACACATTGACTATGAAAATATGTACTGATGCTAACTATGTGGGTTCTACTACTGATAGAAAATCTACTTCTGGGTATTGTGTGTTTCTTGGAGATAGTTCGATAACGTAGAGAAATAAAAAGCAAGATAGAGTATCTCATTCTAGTGCAAAAGCTTAATTTTTGAACTCTTGTTCAAGAAATATGTGAAGGGCTCAGGATGAAAATCATTTTGGATGACCTTAAAGTCAAGGTGGATAACCCTGTGTAGCTACACTGTGACAATAAGTCTACCCTAAGAATAACCCATAATTTAGTACAACATGACAGGACTAAACACATTGAAATTAACAAACATTTGATCAAAGATAATCTAGACAGAGATTTTGTGATTACAACTCATGTTCCTACAAAACTTCAAATAGTAAATAAATGGAGAGTAATTGATATTCATTTAGTAACTTGAGTGAGAGTATTGTAATTAGAGGAAATATCTATAGAATCTTCTTAATTAGAGAAAATATCTATAAAATCTTCCTATTTAGAAAAAAATAAGTGTATAATGTTCTAGATTACTTTTTAGTGCATTATTTTTTTCCTTTGTTAGAAAATTAGATTGTTACAAAAATAGAGGTAAGGGAAATGTAACTGTCATGAATGAAAATAATAAAATCATTCTTAATTTTATGTCTATGTTTTCCTTATATCAAGAAGTTGTGATGATGATATGTTTATGCAATACATTTCTCTCTTTTTATCTTTAGTTAAGTTGTAAAATTTATGATAAAATATGGTTAAGCAAATAACTAAGAACAAAACAGAGGATGGACAATTTGAATGGTCCAAGAACGTTTTGAAGACTTTACCGAGTTGTCCAATATCTTTAACACATTTAGAGAACCCAAAACCAATCACCAAATCAATCCTATTACCCGACCTTTTTGCATGCAATTGCAAGAGAGCAAACAAAAAGTGAAGGCAGACAAAATGTACAATGCGACAAAAACACTGGTTTATTACACAACACACTCTCAAACGCTGATAGATTCCTTGGAATCCAATGCCCTCTCACCAACCTCTTTAGCAGCACCAAAGTCATTCACATTTCCAAAAAGCAGAACCACAGTGCCGACAAGGGCACTGCAAAACGCAACCCCAAAGGAAGTTCTTACACTCCCCGGCACCACTGAACCCACTACGAAACCCCCAAACAAGCCAACACCTCTCACCCAACCATACCAAAAAGAAAAGCCACCCTCTTCACCACATGGAGCAGTTTCCAACATCAATACCCTTCCAAAAGTGTGCAACAGCCCACTTGATGTGCCCTGAATGGCCCCAAACACCAGCAAGTGCCCCCATTTCCAGTGACTCTCCCAGAAGTAGAACCCAAACCCAGAACTTATAAGCGACAAGAGTAACCCCGTGATCTTCATTTTCGCAGAATTGGCCTTGAGTAGGTGCTGCAGTGGTTTGAATAGTAGTGGCAGGGAAAACAGAGGGAAGAGGAAATAGGTTAACAAAAAATAAAGCAAGTGCACTGGCACAATGCAGAGTTGGCCCACTATGAACAGCACCCCACCAGTGAAAACGCCCATTGTGGTAAACGAGGAGAGTAAAACAGAAACCAAGCATCCAATTGCATGTGGGTGTTTGAATATTGTAAAAAGTTGAAGCTTTGAGGGAAAAATATTTGGCACATAACTGGTTCTGTTTTCTGCTGTGAAGACATGCAACATCCCCACTAGCCATAACAAGCCACAAAATATTGTCACAATCCACAGACTGATAAACTCACGTTCAATGGGCTCCCTAAGCATGTGGTAAGTGAAGGATGAGACAATGCATGCACCTAAACAGCCAACAACAGTGGCAAAGAGAGAGATCCAACTAGAGAGTCCTTGTTTTGTGAAAAATATGGTTAGTCTCTTTAATGGTGATGGTCTTGAAACCTTAGGAGCCATGAGGGCTAAGTGGTGAGTGTGTGTTGCAGTTGAGACTGTGATTGCAACAACAATCATTGCAATGTAGAGAACGAAGATCTTAGTGGTTTTGAAAAGACCCACAGGGAGGCAAAAGAGGACTCCAATGCCTGTGGCTGCAGCTGTGATGAATGTTTGGAAGGAACCATTGATGTAGAGGAAAATTAAGGCCAGAATTGGAGCGGCTAGAGCAAGACCTCCACCCCATGCAATTGCTGTCCACTCCAAAGAGGAGAAGGTTGAACCATTCACTGTTATAGTGCGTTTTGTTAGTGTGCTGTATCTGCAGCCATTCATGCAAACATTTAGTTCTAATGAAATTCTTTCTGACTAGGTTAAACATGTACATGCATGATGCATGCATCTCGAATTATATATTTGACATTTTCAGAAAAAAAAAACAAGATAAAGTATTAATTAGTGTAATATGATTTGATCAAAATATGGAAGTTGCTAAATTTTTATACCTAAAGTTCAGTATAAGTAAAGTAAAATTGGAATGGAAATGTAGACATGGTCTTTACGGTATTTTATTATAAAAAAATATACTTTGACACAATTACACTCCTTTAAAATAGTATTTTTTATTCTTTCATCATAAAACCATGAATGTAGGTGTGTTATCACCATTGCCTTTTTATTATATATGTTAATCTCCTAAAAATTGACATGAATAAGGAAATAGAAAAAAATTTAATCTCAAGTTATTTTCAGCATCTTCATGTTTTGTGAGAATTTTTTTGTTAAGTTTTAACAATAGTTCTATAAAATAACTAAATTATACTCACATTATTTTTGTTGTTTTATTTCCGTAAATTTTGAAATGTTATATTTTCTTTATTTACATATATATATATATATATATATATATATATATATATATATATATATATATTATGTTTTTTTTTTTNCAGTGTGGGGCTTAGGGAATTGGATTGGGGATCCGATTGAGAGTCGACGGCTGATGTCATGACTGTGGTGATTTGAAGATGAAGATTTGACTCTCTGAAATAAAGGAGTGGGAGCGGACACTATATATACTGAGATTTTACAATTTTTACTAAATTTAAATAATACAAAGAGTTGTTAGTATTGATTTTTTTTTTATTACATTTAGCTGGAATGATTAATTCTTTACATCATTAAATTTGAAGTTTTTATAATTTTAATATCTTAATTCTGAATTTAATCAAGTATTTATTTAACTTGTTATTTTTTTCTCCTTATCATAAAATTTTATTAAAAGAAATTAATTCGATAAACTCTTTAAATATAGATAATAATACTTTGACAACATTTTTTGACAACATTTTAACACTGTATACGTGTCATTTTGTGATTGGTCTATATTGGTGTCTATGATTATTATTATTGATTGTGAAATAATTTTAGACCAATCACAGAATGTCACGTAGACAATGTTAAAATGTTATCAAAAAAAATGTTGTCAAAAAATATCATTGTCCTTAAATATATTCTAATTTTCCATAAACTCTTGTAAACGTCATTTTAATTATGCTTTCGGTTACTTAATTTTGTCATTTGAGTAATTTTAGTCATTCAATTTTATTTAGAGATAACAAAATGAGAGAGTAGAGTTTCTCTCATCTGGAATTGGATTCTCTAAGTAAATATACATTAAAAAGCAAGATGAAAAAAATATCATACATGTATTCTACCTTTAGTATCTTTCTTATTAAGCACTAAAATGTGTTACTTTCCCAAGATAAATACATACGTTAATATATTTAATAAATTTGATAATGTCATACAAAATAATAATGATTTAATCACCTAACACATTTAAAATTAAAATATGAGTTAAATGTATTTTTATTATATGAATTTTTATGCAAAACAATGATACATTTTGGTAATTGAATTTTAAAAGTAAATAAATATTTTAATCTAACTATTTTTTTTAAATGTTAAACATATTTTTTAATTGATGTTAAAATGAAAATATGTCAAACCCCTAAATATTAATATGAAAAACATTTACATGTTAAAAAAATTTAACATAAAATTAAAATAATTAAATCTATTTATTTTTAAAATGTGAGAACTAAAATATATTAAAGTTTTAAATAAAGTCAAATTATAATATTAAATAAAAATTCACAAATTAAAAATATATTTAATTCTTAAAATATTTAACAACGTGATACTGTTTTCAGCCATGTGATCCTGTTTTCTAGAGTAGGTAGTAATTGAAATTAAATCCATAAGATTCGCTCTAATTTACATTTCTTTAAAATTATTTTGTTATTTGTCAATATATTTGAACATTCTGTTGTTGACTAATTTCCAACCAAAACTTGGCTAACTATCTAGTGTTTGTTAGCATTCAATTTTCTAATTCTAAAAAAAGAGTAAATTTTAGTTTAATTATTTTATGTTATTTAGTTTTAAAAAGTTATGAAGTTTGGACAAGTTTGCTGGGCTTTCTTATAGTGAAAAGATGGAAGAGTTGAAGTTGTAAACTGCAATGTTCCTCTCATGCAAGCCAATGTTTTCTCATAAGATTATTAGGCAAAAACAAGGGTAGCATATGTAAGAAATAAGGACTTGGTTGCTGATATAAAAGGAAAGAATTAAGTGTGAGAATGGAAGATTTGTGTTTAAAGACATGATTTTTTATTCTGAATCCCAACATTCAAATACGTTGTGTGCAATCTAGTCCTAATAAATTTCAGCTCATGGATGGTGTTGTTAGTGAACGTAGTCCAAATAATATGGAGGTTAAAAGGAGTATTTATCATTTATTATTGGTTCAATCATGAATTACAAGGTAGAATAACTTCGAAACTATCTAAATTCACAATACCATAGGTATTCATGTTGCTTATTCAATTCAATAGGAAAATTCAACTTCACCATTGTGAATACGTGTTTAATTAAATTTTCGTTCTACTTTTTTGAAAATTTCAAGAAAAAAAATGAAAAGAATCTCTCAACTGAAATATTTCTTAATCACATATATCTCAATAATAACTACAAAAGTATGAGTTTATTATCGATGGTTTTTTAACCTCATTAAATTTTGTGCAGTTTTCTAAAAATCGCAGTTAAAAATATATTATTTATTTTTTAAAACAAATTTTTGACGGTTTTTGAGTAAAGTGTTGGTAAGAGTTAGAAAATTGTTTAATTTCCATAATCCCAAAAGCAGGTTGCATTATTTTTATTTAGGGATTTCGTAAGAGCATACTCTATCATCTTGATTTCCTTCTCTCTAGTTGAGTTTTAGTTCTTTCTATATGGATGAGTTTCACCTCTTCTTACTTCCAATCAGATACACTTGTTATGTTTTTCTCTTGTTCTTTACTTCATGTTGTCTTTCCCAAAATCTTTAATTTCAATTTTTCATTGTCCTTAAATAGTAAATTTTCTATAGTCGGAGGCAATCTGATAACAAATTTGCCACCACATCAAAAAATGGGAATTGATGTGGAATGTGTTGTTTCTATTGTAGCAAAGGTGGGACATTTTCTCTCAGGCACTACTTTCTTCAAGGTTTTGTGTATATTTTGTGATTCTTTTTTTTACCTAAATTCACAATCTTGTCTCACTTGATTTATCTTTTCTACCATCTAATGGTGTCATTAAGCAACAAATCTTTATATTCGGACACTTCCTTTCTTCTAACATCGTCCAATTGAAATTTAGAATGTTTTGTTTGCAAAAAAAATTGATTGAATATGTTTGACTCAATTAAATCATATATTTTCTCATATCACGACTTATACTCATGGACTATGTGTTGTAATTAGAAAAAATATAGAATCTTTTTAATTAGAGAAAATATCTATAAAATCTTTCTAATTAGAGAAAATAGGAGTATGATCTTCTAGATTATTTTTTAGAATATTATTTTCTTATTTTCCTTTTTTAGAAGATTATATTGCTACAAATAGAGGTAAGGAGAATGTAATTATCATGAATGAAAATAATAAAATCATTCTCTTTTTCAAGTTGGTATCTGAACTCTTGATCTTGGGAGATATTTTTCCATTGCAACAATAGTCATCGTCGTCGTTGTCCAACCACCGCGGTTGTCACGGTAGCTAATTGGGGTTGTGGATAGGGCAGAAAGGTGCTCCCATCTCCAATGATCACAACACCGGAAATCACTCCAGGAAATAAGTCGTCACGAACCGCCACCGTCATTGGCTCTTGTAGCACACACGTCTAGTTCCAGCGAGACCCAATCGTCGCCACCATCACAAAAAGGGTTTACGGAGCCTCTTGAGTTCGTTCCACGGGTCGGTGACATTCCATTTGGCCCATATTTGAGTAGATATGAATTTTAAGTTCAGCTCCTTTTCAAATAAGGTCACCAAAGACACTTGATCGCGTTCTACGTTATGTCTGAAGTAAAATTATTCTTTTGGGTCCTAAGGATCTATCAAACATGGTGGGTGTCTATCGGTTGGATGGTCAGAATTTCTTACAATGGAGGCAATACATTCGAAGGATTCTCAAGGGACGTTCAAGACTAGATCACATAAATGGAGGAGGACCAGAACCAGACAACACTCATTTTCCAATTTGGGACAATGAAGATTCACTAATTATGACTTAAACGTGGTAGTCCATGATTCCTAAGATAAGTAAAAATTATATGTTTCTTTCTTCTGCCAAATAAATATGGGATTATTTGCCCATTGAGAAAGGAAAGAAGATCATGTGCTAAATATTCTATTTTTCAGTATGTTTGCACTAACAATCTCTCTAGTAAGCATAAAAGCTTTATTGCTGCCATTTATGCCACATAAATTCCTACCACAATCTAGGAGGCCATGAAACTTGAACATTGGAATACAACCATGAAAGAAGAGATAAATACATTAGAAATAAATTAAACTTTGGAGATTGTTGATAAACCCAAGAGACAAGAAGGCAGTAAGGTGTAGATGGATATTCATAGTGAAACATAAGGCAAATGAGATAATAGAA